CACGAGATGGGACTTCATCGTGAAAGGCCAAATCGAAGTCTATCATAACTTTCTTGATGACTTAAATGACATCGAAAGTAATAAAAAATTATGGTACGAAAATTTTCTCGCGTTAAATTCATGCTGACGTGACACAGACAATTTTCAATTTGCCGCCAAATCGTAAACAAATGACAAATTAATAAAATGCGTACACAATAATATTGGCAAAGAGTTCTATTTTCAAAATTTGAACTTATTTTTTATTATATCGTTTACAAGTGGCCAGTTCTAAAAATTTTCAGTGTCGCCCTCGTATGTGAAGAGAAAATGTTGCACCCCTTTTTAAGGTATATTGCGCGCATGGAGGAGTGTGAGATTTTGCAAGTTAAAATTTGTATTGGGAAGAGGAGTGCAGAAAGCTAATTATTTATTTAATTTATTGTAATTATTAAAATAAAATAAATCATTCATTGTTTACGTTTAACTACCAATGTCAAACCAATAATAGCCTATCGTTTGTTTACGTTCATATTGTCAATGTCAAACACTCAATACTCTCTGGCCAAACAGTCGCACAGAGTAGAGATTGTCGCCAAAGAATTTGAAAATGTTGCCGACAAATAATTATTGACAGATTGATTAAATGAGCTGTGAATTTTATGTGAATTCAAAGGTTCCTTTTTCAATAGTCTATAGAGTGTCAAGGTAAAAAAGCCTTTATTTTATATTTAGTTTATTAGATACCTGTGTTTTATTATCTATTACTATGAAGTTGAAAGTGACAACTAGCTTAATATACAAATATAAATAATTTTTAATTATGGTTGAATTTCGATCGCTAGTTTATATTAATATGTTGCATTTGCTATTAAAATTATATTCTCAATGACAAAAATCTTTTGAAATTCTAAACATACTTAATTGTAATTCACATGCTTTCGCCGAGATAAATTGCGCTTAAATTCCATTCATTTTTTACCATTCACAATTATCCGCTTACGCGTACAAAAATTAAGGTGCACGCAAATGTCACTATGTTGCTAATACGTATGTGACGGCGGCTCGTGTGATTAGGGAATGAAGCGATTTAGTGTTTCGGCTGCGAGTTCAAGTTCGGGGCGCTTTATCACGCGGGTTATCTTTTCCGTCCTCGCCACCGCTACCGCTTGCAACCGCTTTGATCCGTCGTTGTGGGTTCACTCAACGCACTATTCTTTATTGTTTAAATATATGTACTTGAGCTTTTCCCTGTTGTAGGAAGCATGTCTTAATACATATTTTACGCAGTAGAGCCATACAGCAGATACATTATAAAAGGGTCGGTTCAACCGGGGAAGGACCGCGTTCTCACAGAATATCAGCAAAATTGCAGCTTTATGCTGACATTTTATGACTTTGTGATCATTTGCCACCCTTAATCAATATAAAAAAATAGTAATGCTTGGCAGACAGATTGACTGTCTAGTCAATCGGTATTAGACGTCTCACACCTTCAATACTCTTACGCGTTGCCGGTCTGGTTACTTTACGCCTGGCGTCACTAAACAAATCAGTTATATCGCTATCTATCATATGTAATAAGATCTTTTCAGTACTTACATAGTCGCCGCTTATGACAGCCAAGAGACTAAATGGTGTGGTGATGGTGGCGTAAGAAAATCCATCACTTTCCTCAGGATCGCTTTTAATTTTTTAAAGTTACAGAAATATGCAGTAAATATTTTCTGTTGGGACTGGCTGCTGTGATCAAAATCCGGTATAGTCCTTCTTTTTTGTTTTTTTTTTATTTATTTATATTTATATTATATATTACACAACAAGATACAGAAACAGTCTCATAATTTGCTGATATATCTTCCAGTAGACCCACAAAGGAAAATATATTAAAAAGGCATACTTAGTTCGTACAATACTAATACTACTGTAAATAATATACAAAATGTTACGTAAATTATATTAAAGGATACTATAAATAAAAGTAAAATCAAAACCATAAATAAAAATAATACATACAATAGCCTACATATAATATATATAAACTAATACTAATATAATAAAATAATATATATTAATTAACAGCATGCAAAGAAATTAACTCTAACACGTTTTTTAAATACCAATAATGTTTCAGAATTTCTTATATTAGGCGGTAGTGAGTTCCACAACCTAACTTCTTCTTTATTACTCTCTTTTTATTCTTCATCCACTGCTGACTGACATCCACTGACATATTCAAGCAGGCGCTTGTTGGCTTGTGCCTAATAAAGATTTGCCCTTCTTACAACGCTCTGTTAATATTTGTGGTCAATGTTTTTTTAATAGATTTTCCGTCGTCAACAGAATGACGTCCGTCAACGGGCAGGGTGTAATACGAGTGCAAATGACGGGGGCGTTTAAGAAAAACCTACATACAAAAAGCAATGTACATTGTCACACTCATGACGACACTGTTGTCTTAACAAAGAAAAAAATCAATTTAACCATTAATCAATCAATCGTGTAGTGACCTATTACAATTTATATTTAGGGGTAAACAAGTACATGAAAGTAGCCAGTTCTTTTTTAGTTTTATTAGTTTTTTTTTTTAGTTTTATTTTGAATTGGATTTTTTAACAAAGTATTGAAATGTAAAACTACTGACATGTTATTGCTTGAATTAGATAAAAAAGGATTTGAGATCAAAATTAATGTTCCAAAACTAGTCTCAATTGGGTCTGGATTTATGCGTGAAATATAAATCAAAAAAATACATATGTATGTGCACAATAGTGACGCGATCCAAAATCTTATACGATAAGTTTTGCGTAGAAAATGAGTCTTGAAGTGTAAAATGTAGCTAAATAAATTCCAAATGGGTTATTTTATGGAATAGGGTAACAAAAGAGGACACAGTCCACCTGGTGGTAAGTGGATGCTGTGGCCCATAGTCATTTACATTTATCCTCAATTGAGAATTAAAATCATGCGGTGCCACCCCTGAGGGCTAAGATGGAAGGCCTCATTTCCAGTAAAAAGGATCTCCGGTTCTCTACATTTACCATACGAAACACAACAGCATTAAGCTGCTAATTTACGCTGGTATTCTGTGAGAGCATGATACTCGTATTTCCCTGGTCGAGCCGTTTCATTCGTGCTAACCATAATATAGCTGCAGCGTGGCTCTACCACGTAAATGATGTACAATATAAAAATAATCAATATACATATTCTTATATAATAGGTACATGATATTGCATCTACGCTTACAAGAGCGTACGGCAGTTTTACATGAATGAATTCCACTGAATGTAATTCGTTTGAACGCACTCTTATCTCTGTTTGCGTGTTTTTATTTTTCTGACTTTTGCTTAGTGTAGCTAATTGATATATCGAATTATCGTTACGTTTGCGGTATTTAACTAATTTAAGTAACGCGTTTGACATACATCGTTTGAACTTTGAACTTACGAATTGTGATGATGTTTCAAATATTATATGTCTACATAAGTGTAAATTAACTAAAGTATTTAAATAAAATCTCTGTTGTAAACGAATCTGAATACCGTTATCAGTCAGTGCTGCTTTCTCTACCTTACACTTTATCATATTGTTAATTAAGTAAAGAAAGCGCTTTTTGTTTGATAACATTGAAATAAATTGTTTAAGTACTATTTAAATAAAACTAGTACACATAGAACACCGATTCCTTCCAAGAATGATTCGCGAGGCTATTGAAATCAAAAACATCCTAATTTCAATAGAGAAGATGGCTGGGTGCTACCATCTGCTTGGGATCCCATAATTAATAAAATTAAATCCCAACCCAAGCATACAACTGCAAGACTTCAAGATACTGTAAGTTCATACTGCGTAGATCGGAACAAAAATCAATAATTTTTAATCTGGAGGCAGCCGTGGTTAACTATGACATTGGAACGTCATACACCTCAGTCCCCTCCCGTGACCATGGGTGCTGTAAAGTGCTTGAAACGTCGGGAATATACAATAAGTTAATATACGCGATAAAATCCGTAAAAATAGTTTTATTTAAATGTGTAGTGTTCGCGTAAATATAAGAAATCACTATGTTTAAGTACTATTTCATTCATATTTAAGCTTCGTTGTTATTATTAGTAAACAATATTTTCTTCAGCTGAATTTCTGTGTCACGTAAAAATTATTTCATGTTTAATTAAATTTTCAAATCTTATTTCGGTATAATTTTGGTTGTGGCGGAACGATAGAGTAACTCTAGTCTCATACAAATCATTGCTATGGTCATAGGTATTGTTTAAAAACGCCTTCTTTGTTCGGTTTCATTTAATGCTCGCTTAACATTGTTTCGACTTTTAAAAAAGGAAATAAAGTGGCATAATCCGCCTGAGGTTGTTTAAATTATTTTAGAGCGGGTGTGGAATGAGTCAGGGCGTTCGCACATCTGGCGTCAAAGGAAAACATCATTGTTTGAGCTATCGCGTTGCGCCCAATCAAACACCTGCTGCCTAAGCTGCATGACAAATGCTGTCAATGGCAAGAGTTGCCGCTGTTGGAATTTTCATCAAAATTTGTACATAAATGGAAACAGCTACTAAATATATTATTATGATATCTAATTTAAATTAATTTTATTTATTAACCCACATAATATTAAGCCAAAAGAGTTGAAACAGATTTGTCACTGTAAAACGGGTTTCATACAGAAGAATTCAACGCGCGTAACTTACTTTCACGTAGTCCTTAAAATTAAAATTAAAGCTCGCTGGCAAAGTAAATTTATATGTAAATTTAATAAATTACTTTAATGAATTTGGATGTTAAATACTAAACTTATGCATTATATTAAGTCTTGAAAGTGAAATAATTTTGACTACACTGTTGAACTGTTGAATAAAATCTCTAAACATTGTGAGAGTTTTCTATAAGTGCATATATTTTGGAAAACAACATTGCACCTGTGGGGCTTACCGCGTGGCCTAGAGTCGGCTTTGTTTATATATACGCGAGTGACACGTGCAGCCTCGTGCACACATAACATGCGCCAGTAATCAGTTATCGGCGGCGAGAGTGATCGAGCATCGCTATTATGTCACCGCAATTAAAAACTGTGCCACGCAGTGAGGAAGCGACGGATATCTATGGCGGGGAGGTGGCAGTGGTAGTGGTGGTGAGACGGTGAGGGGAGGGGAGGCGCAAGTTGCGGACCGCGGCGAGGTGATTCGCGCGCCGCACGCCGCCGCGTTCGCACGCCCGCTCCTGTCGCGCTTCCAGCGCATAGCTGCGCCCGCGCCGCGATGTGTGAATAGTGAGAGAGCGCGTCGTAAGCGCCTCGACTTCTCCATGGAGTACCAGCACCCGCAACCAGTTCAGCCGCTCGGCCCGCCGGCGCCGCCGCCACAGCTGCTACCGCCCGCGCCGCCGCCACCGTTGCCCACACTGCCACAGTTGCAGCACGGTCACGTGCAGGACGACGACCGCTGGAGCCAGTACCACATCTGGAGGCAACACGTATTCGTCAATGGTCAGTGCTCGCAACTCAACGCAGTTCGGGAAGCGCTCGCGCACTTTCTCCTGCAGTTCACATTCGCCGCTGCCCCCGGGCCTGCGAGAGCCGCCGAAAAGAGAAAGTGCGCGACCGTAGCCTGACGTCGAGCCTCCGACGGAAGTTTTCGGGTATCGAGATATCTTTGTTATGCGATACCGTTTTATATTTAGTATGTATTTAATTTCTTGTTACTTAAATATCGAAGGTTTTATGTCCCAACTTTAAAATTTACGTATTTTACAATGGAAAATCAAATAAAAGGCTGTTAGAAATTAAAAATTCGATTAAATATATTATTAAATTTTAAAAATCCTAGCACCGAAGTCATATGAAATAATATCGTTTTGTTTTACGTAAATTTCAACACTTCAAAATATCAGGGACACTTCAAGTTGAGACTTCTTTAATGTAAATAGTAAAAATAATTTAAGTTAAAAGTTTAATATATTTTGAGAATGAAGATCCCCTTGGCGTAGGTCCCGCAGGGCTATGGTAGAAGATAGAAAGTGTATATTCATATCAAAGTCAAAAACTAAACATTGGGTCGTAAAGACGTGGCAGATGCTTCAGCAAGGAGTTCAATCACAAATTCGATTAGCTTGTCAGTGTTGAGAAGCCTTAGAGAGACACATGCCCATACGGCAAGGCTTAGTATTATTTTACTTTATATATTGTAGGATAAACGCTGATTGTACAATTGCTTACGTCTCTATTTTATTTTTAAAGCATAACTATCACGGAAAACTGATTTCACTGTATAAACGATAACGTTAAATCAAGAATAAGTGGGCAGATCTAAGATGAAAACGTTTCACGTCACTTGTCTAAACTATTGCTACTCTTACATTGCATTTCTAATATTATGCAAATTACGGCAATTGTTTCTGCGAAATTCGTAACGCTTGTTTAGGGTTTATAAAGGCACTAAATAAATGAAACTAAGATCATTCGTAGCTTCGGGGCCTTCAATGGCGACGATGTGTTCACGAATTTATTCCATTGACTATGAATCTGGAAAGAACTATCGGTTACAGAATTGCTATAGCAGCGGCTTTATATTTAAAATCCATTGATTTTAAGTATATTGTCAAAAATAGTTAAAATAAATATGTTATGTTGTAAGTATTCAAAAGAGAGAGACATAATTGCAGATCTATTAGAATCAAAGAGTCGACCAAACTATTTTTAATTCGTTTTTCATTCAATCTCTCTAAATGAAAAAATATATCAGATGTCTTCATCTATCGATAAATATGTAGGTAGTTGACCAGTATCAGCCACAAAATACATACATTTTTAACACGACCGAGGTCAATCACAGAGCGCTAAGTAATTGGGTAGCGACTTGACGTCCTCCATTTAATAAGTCGGTGTTGGTATCTGGTTAAAGCTTATTCAAAATAGGAACCATTTGGCGTGAAATTTAATTAGTAGAATACTAATGAAGCTGATGACCCTTAAGGGCTCAACCTTGCTTACAGTCGGATTATCGAGCCTCACAAAATCTTGATCCAATTATTTCCAAAGGAAATCTATTCAGATATGGATTAGCAGAAATAATACGCAAATGTTTTAAATAAACAACAACAAAACGAGTTGAATTCGTGAATGTCGAAAGCGGAATATATCACTGATTTATTATTCAGTCTCGATCAAATATTTTTGTAACTGGACTTTAACCCTTTCTCCCGTAAATCTAAAAAAACATCAGCAATGATGTGCTGCTATAGTATTATTTTTAAATAAGCACTACCATAAATGCGAACAATAAAATATAATTTTAATTTATTTATTCGTACTATCCGTCTGAAATATAATAAGGTCATATTTCTAAATAGACTGGCACTAATAGGTACTGCTTTTGTAGCAAGGTTATATTTTCGTTGAAAATCTTTTATCGCGATCCATTCATACAATGCATGTAAGTTAAAAAGTCTTTAATACCTATACACGCAATATTTAAATTTTTTATGTTATTTAAACATGAACAAGGGTTATCTAGGATGCCTCTTGTATAAAATTATCTGCAGTTGGGATCTAACACGTGTTGACGCAGCGGCCTTCGCTGCAGGTGCATTTTTCGTTCCTGCGAGACAATTAATACGTACTTAATACACAAATAAGAATTTTTGCTTATTTTTAGACTGCAACACAATTTTTTGAAATTTGCATTCACACTTCACTACATTTTATCTTTGCTGCATTCTTGTTTTGTAGCCATTTATGTATTTCATTGTGTGCGTTAAATTGTTTTTATTAAATAGATGTGATAAATAAACTTGTAGTTCAGCTGATGACTAGTGGCAACTGCAGCCCATTGACACCCTGCAATCAATTTCAAACAATGAAAGCTACAGTTGCGATGTCGCTATGATGTACCAAGATGGAACGCCTCACAGCCTGTTAATATACCGGCTCTCTTTACCCTTCGGAGCCAAACGCAGCGTTACAGGCATTGCTATTTGGCGACCGAAACAGGTATTAGGCGGGTGGTACCTACCAAGACAGACTTCTAGGCAGAAAGGGATATTACCTAATCTGCTCAAATAATTCATAATTTGTTTCGTCAATTATAAAAGAAGAATTGAATTATTTTTACTTTTCTTCTTATTTATTTGCCTTAACAACTGGACATAGGCTTTTTAAGAATATACCAGAAGACTATAATCTTTATATATAAAAATTACGTGTCACGTTGTTTGTCGGCGATGAACTCCTAAACTACTGAACTGATTTCAATGAAATTTTGCACACTGTGTGCAGTTTGGTCCAACTTGAGAGATAGGATAGTTTTTATCCTGATAAGTGACATTCAATATTTTTTTATTAGGAATTTAAGCATTTTTTATATGAAGGGTCGTCGTAAAGTCTGCCTGGCCAGCTAGTAATATTTTAAAATATAGTTTTAAAGAATTGTCAATAAATACTAGGTGTTTATAAATTCAAATACCTAAGCATATATGAAATTTTAATTATTAAAGAGTGTTGCCACTACGCGCGAGATACGATCACGCGAGATATCATCACGTCCTTCCAATTTTTTTTTATAACTAACAATATTCAGCTTACTTACAATGTAGTCCTTTTGTCTGATTACATAAAAATTTATAGTTTGCTTTTGCAAAAATTATTTACATATACCTATGCCATAACCAATCCGCCCATTGAGTGTGGCGATTCTCTTTGCAAAATCTTTATACTGTGGGGGAGGCTCTAATGACTTGGTGGACTATTATAAGGTAATAAAGAAATAGAAAAATTTGAAAATGTTCGTCGACTGTTTCGAATCGTATTAATATATCATTCTGTAGTATGTTATAAGCACTAAAAAAGTACATCTATGTGTTAACGTGTTTGTTTTTATTTAAAAATAGTGTTGTAAAATAATAATTGACAGGCAGGGCTATAAAGTTTGAAATGACTGTGTCATTGGATGGCGCAAATTATTTGCATCCGCGTAATGAAATTTCACATGAGATAAAACTGAATATTAGCACAGTGTGAGCCGCTTTTGGGTTTGCGGTCCGAACGCGGCCTCGCGCTATTACTTCTTTTGACCAATTCGAGCGTAGCCACTTTCACTCCGAATATTTGGGAAAAAGTGTCGACCTTTTCGCGACTTTCACCCCGCCCCCCTCGCCCCGCTCCCCTGCGCACGTGCTTTCTTCCGCGTGCGCGTGGGCAAAACCACTTTTACTTTTTAAACTTGACAATGCCCGAGAATACTGCTTTGCATCGTACCGTCCTTTTCCATCCTTTGTTCAAAAAGCATTTCTCAATCATTATTTAGAAATAATTCGGGAGATATAGGACTTATCGTATTATGTAAACGCGACATTTACATTAAACTTATTTATGATAACGGATCGGGTCAGTGCGGAATACTTACTATAAATTATAAAATTAGATAGCAGTAAATTTAAGAATCACCATTGTACGTAAATCAAACGGCGCCGATAAATTAGGTTACTCTATTTTATCATAGGACGTAAGTGTATTAAATTAATCAATAATTTCATTAGGCTTGTTTGAAAGGGTAAATACAACAAAGATTACTTTTGTAATGGAAGTTTTAGAGAGATAGAAGATTCGCGTTATGAATATCTTAAATTTTTAATGATTTTTAAATATGAAATATCTTAATATTTTTAATGTAATGATAATATAATACTGCGCATGTTTAGATATAATTCACATTAAAAAAAATCTATTTTAACTCATCAAAGAAATCAAGTTAATGTTTGAATACAATAGCACGTGTCCATAATAATCATGATCATCATCATTATAACAGTCCATCATAAATTAACATTCATCTACTCCATGTCTTGCCACCTTTTTTTTATTACACAGTATTTAATTGACAGCGAATTTTTTTTTAAGTATTTCATTAAATTATTTGTCGCGTTAAAAGTTTCCTTTTAAAATCTATTTAATAATTTCACTACAATGGAAAATAGCAATACTGAAAATTTACATTTATTAACTTTCGACGCCGTGTTGTTAATTTACTCATGCAACAATTTGAATAGTCAGTTAATTTGTATAGTAGGTAGTTTTCATATTATTCGATTGAATAGTGCGATTTTATGAAAATTATTCCTATTTTATTTGTAATTGAAGCAAAATTACAATCCTTCTATTGGTATTATAATGTCATTGTAAAAAATGCTTTATATATTTGCCGAAGGAGCTTATTATATCTGCACACGCCATAGATTATTTTATGTTTATTAATTTTGTCATTTTATGTTCGATAAACATTAAAATTTTGTTAGGCATTTAAGAAGAGCTAATTAAGTCACACAAAAATATTTTACTTATTTCAATTTTACCAAATATATCAGTCATATCCTACCGTGTCTCATTATATCAGATAAATCAGGTTTCCAATAACTTTTCTTACATGTTCAAAAACATCTATTAGAAGAGCATTCATCATTGTTCTATTGGTTTACTTAATTTAAAAAAAATCT